CAGGGTGGGTCCCCCCTTGGGGCTCCCAAATGATGCCCCTGGCAGCGTTTTGTGACCATGAGGCTCTCAAGAGATACATGTTGGGGAGGCCAAACGGCAATTCTAGCTGAGGCGTCCCACCAAAATCGGCGCGAACGGGCTCGTGAGATCAGCCAGGGTGGCTCCCCCTTGGGGCTGCCAAATGATGCCCCTGGCAGCGTTTTGTGATCATGAGAGAGTGTGAGTGTGAGTGAATGTGACTGTGAGTGAGTCTGAGTGAGAGTGAGTCTCATCTTATCTTATCGAGTCCTATCTTATCTTACCTTTATTACCCTCTATCTTGTCTTATCTTGAAATCTCATATCTTGTCTTAGCTTATCTTATATCAACTCATCTTATCACATCATATTTTGTCTTATATTATTACTCCATAGGCTGTCTTATCTTATATATTATCATACCTTGTCATATATCTTATCTTACCTTATCATATATTGTGCTATCTTATCTTATCTTGTAGTATCTTATCTTGTCTTGTCTTATCTGGTGATTATCATTGGGAGGAGGGAGGCGCGAGCGGGAGGAAGGAGTCCGCGCGTGGGAGGCGTCAGAGTAATAACAAGAACCCCAATCCTTAGGATATGGGGAATAAGAAGAAGGAGGAGAAGAAGAGCAATGATAATACTAATAATCAGAAGAATAATAATCATACTACTAATAATAAGAAGACTAACGATACGAATCATAACACTCATAAGAATAATAATAATAACAACAGAAAGAACGGCATAAACATGCACTTTCAGCGCTCCGCGCGGATTTCTTGGATCTGCGCTGGACCCCACTCCCTAGAGCGCGGAGCGCGGCAGCGGCGGCGCCGGAGCTGCCGCTGGGGGGGGCCCAGCGCGGATGCAAGACATCCGCGCAGAGCGCCAACAACTCATGTTTATAGCTTTTCAAATGCATGTATCCGCCACCGTGCACTGAGGCAGTAGTTGGAGTGTCCTCAAGTACAGGATGCAGCAGGGGTGGGCGTGCTGGGTGTGAGCGCCCATGGCCTTGCTTCTGTCGGCGTGCCAACGGCACCTGTTCTTTAAGAGGTCCACGGCCTCGAGCTCCGGGCGCTCCCGGGCGCTCCTGAACACTCCCGCGCGCCCTCGGGGGCTCCCCGTGTGACTTTTCGAGAGGCCCAAAGCGCGTTCCTGGGGACATGCTAAATCAAAATGGGGTCAGATGGCCCAGGGGACCGTCCCAGGAGGGCAAAATCCTCGAAATCCATGGGTCGATTGCATGGTTCTCGCATCACCACATTTTCGGTCTTCAGAGCGTCCAAGACGGCCCAAGATGCGCCCAAGCCCTGAAACAACCCGAAAGCCCCTAAGAAGGACCCAAGAGGCCCCCAAGATAACCCCAAGAGGGGCCCAAGATGGAGAACACGAACTGACATTTCGAGCCCTAAGCCCCAAGATGGCCCCAAGATCCCCCCACAAGCCCTCGAGGTGCCTTCAAGAGGCCTCAAGCGGCCCTAAAGAGGCCCCGAGAGGCCCAAATCAGGCCCCAAGAGGCCCCCCAAACACTCCCAAAATCGCCTGTAAGAGGCATCCAAGAAGCCTGCAACGATATCCTCACAGGCATCCAGGAAGCCTCTGACCCAGGCACGGTGGCGGGATGGGCCGAAGGCCACTCTATCCGCCGCCCCCTGCTTGCAGGGGTGCACGGCGTGCTGGACGAGCTGTTAGGTTTTGGTTTTGGTTCTTTTTCCAAAAGAACTCCCCAGTGGGCTCCGGCAGAACCCGCCGGCCACCCGGAAGGGTGCTCAACGACCGGAAAAAATCCTCCAAAAAACGGCCGTTTCGCTCGGGACATCCTCAAAAAATCGCGAAGATGGCCCAAGATGGCCTCCAAGTCCGCCCGAGATGGTCCAAGACGGCCTCCAAAACGGCCCAAGAGAGTCCAAGACGGCCCAAGACGGCCCAAGAGGCCCCCCAGAGGCCTCCCAGACGGCCCAAGAGGCCTCCAAGAGGTCCTCCAGGAGAGTCCGAAGAGGCCAAAATCATTGATTTTCCATTGGTTTTTGAAGGATTTTGGCATTTGCGCCTTTTCGGCTCTCCGACGGCTCAAGACGGCCCAAGAAGCCCCCAAGATCGCCCAAGAGGCCCCCAAGAGAGCCCCATGATGGCCCAAGTGGCCTCCAAGATGGCCCCTAGAGGGCCCCAAGAGGGCCCAAGAGGCCTCCAACACGCCCAAGATGGCCTCCAAGACGCCCAAGATGGCCTCCAAGACGGCCCTGGAGCGCCCCAAGAGGGTCCCCCGTTGGCCCAGAAAGGCCCCCCAAACGGCTCCCGACTGCGTCAGACGTGCCAGGAACCCACCAAGATGGCCGAAGTTGGCTCGAAGCTGCGCCCAACGGGCCCAAGAGGGCCCCCAATATGGCCTCCAGGAAGGCCAAAAGGTGCCAAAATCAATATTTTTCCCAAGTTTTTGATGGAATTGGGCATTTCCCTTTTTCGGCCCTTTTCGGCCCTTCCGACGGCCCGAGACGGCCCAAGAGCCCCCAAAGATCGCGAAAGATCGCCCAAGAGGCCTCCAATACGGCCAAGATGACCTTCAAGATGCCCACGTGTTCCCCGAAGGCTTTCCAAACCGATTCGGGGAACACATGGTCCGATGGCTTGGCAGGTCTGGCCTCAACGTTCGGCCACATACGCGCCTCCACAAAGGCAGGGGGCGGCGGTGATTCGCCGTAGGCGTCTTCGATCCGCCGCCCCCGGTTGATTCATTACAAGGGTGCCTGGCGTGCTGAATCGTTCCGCTTTTGGTTTTGGTTCCTTTTCCGAAAAAACTCCCCCTGGGGTTTCGGCCCTGCCCGCCGGGGTCCCGGAATGGCCCGGAAAGGGTGGTTCCAGAAGGTTTTCCTGCTCCAGAAGGCTCCCAGATGGCTTCCAAGATGGCCTTCAAGTTCGCCCAAGATGGTCCAAAATGGCCCAAGAGACTCTAAGTTGCCCCCAAGTTCGCCCAAGAAACCTCCAAGACGGCCCAAGACGCCTCCAAGAGGCCTCGAAGACGACCCAAGAGGCTTCCAAGAGGTTCCCCAGGCGTGCCCGAAGAGGCCAAAATCATAGATGTTCCTAGGATTTTGAAAGTGTTGGTAGTTGCTTCTTTTCGGCTTTCCGACAGCCCAAGACGGCCCAAGAGGCCATCAAGATCGCTCCAAGATCGCCCAAGGGCCTCCAGGATGGCCCCAGAACGGCCCAAGAGGCCTCCAAGATGGGCCCGAGAGTGCAATTCACAGCCCAGAGCCTGCCTCTTCAGAGCCTACTTACGACAGATGGCCCCTAGAGGCCTAGCGTGACATATATATATATATATATATATATGCTTCAGGCTTCAAAGGAGCTTCGTGTATGTTAGCCAAGCGTTTCCCGGCGAATCGGGCCTCCCAAGACTCCATGTTTCAGCAAGCCTTGCTTAGTAGGCCCTCCGCTTCCCTAGCAACAAGTTGCAACATATATTACAAACAGAACAGGTTCAACCGAAACCGTTCTGGCTCAAGACCTTGCAGCGTCACAGCGACGCTGGATTTCTGGTGTGCGTCCAAGAGACGCAGAGCAGCGAACTGCCCGCTAACAAACAGATCCTGCTCCCTACCACAGTGTGATCAGCATCGCACAGGCACTGCCCTATCATAGACGACCAGTTTGAGACGAGCCCAACATCCCCTACAGTGATTTCAACGTATTGTCAGAAGAGAGAAGAGAGTAGCATCTATCAGGATTGTTATCAGGGCAGTGGTCATAAGCGGGACCATTGCATGGTAGCGGAGCTGCTAAGCTCCACGGACTACAGATTCACGGACATAAGTCTCATCGTGTGAGCCATGACGAAGAACAACGGCAACGATGACATCATACCCAAGTGGAATGGAGATCTCACCACGGTGGACGATTACGAGAGAGACGTCAAAGCCTACATCCGAGGGACGAGGCGAGATGAACGATATGTGTGCGGCCCACGTCTATAGAGACGACTAGAAGGTCGAGCCCGACAAGCCGCTAAGGACGTAGACTGAGACCGCATCGAGAAAGACGACGGAGCTGCCGAGCTACTACGACATGTCCGAGCGAAGCTCGGAGCTCAGCCCATCCAGGACGCCGGCAAGTATTTAGCGAGATGGATCTTCGACTTACGCCGAGACACAGGAGAGCCGATGCCGAGTTATATTAGCAGAGACGACGAGGCCTACCATGACGTTGTGAAAGGGTTTGACACCGAGTATTTCAAGAAGTAGCGTACGGCCCGACTCTCCTAGAGATCAAAGTTGTGGAACACCCTCTATAGTGAGCTGATGTGATTTCTTTACAAGATCGAGCACGAGGGCCCAGAGGATGCAGCCGAAGTGGCGAAGAACCTCAACTGGCGGCTCTGGAGTTTTGTCAGCAACGGCCTGGAGGAGATCCCCGAGCATCCAGATTTCGGTAGCGACTTTAATCAGGCGATTCCTCTGGACCAACTGCGTGGACGGCTATTGCTGCAGAGATCAAGATTGTCCCCGACCGAGCGTGCAGCAGTGATCAGCGCAGTCAAAGGCAACTTCGACTATGATAGCATCGGAGAGCAGCTGCGAGTATCTTGGCCCGACGATGAGTTGACGAATCGCGACAAGAAGACAGGCAAGGACAACCATCGTCATCGAGAGCGAGGTCGAATCCACGCCGGCTGGGAGGAGAACAGCGATGACGACGACGACTACAGCTACTACGATGGAGAGCAGTCGGAGGTCTCCTACGAGGATGGCGACGGCGACGAGGACGAGGGAGATCCCGAGGACCCGCTCTACAGCGCCCAGGAGATCGAGGACGCCGAGACCGCGTTCGCCGCCCAGCAGCGCAGCTTCGAGGAAGCCCGAGACCTCCTTCGACGAGCCCAGACAGCAAAGAAGTTCTACCCCGTGTATGAGAATAAGAAGCGAGAGGGTCGCGGAGGACAGCGCAAGTTTCAAGGGCCCCGGGCTGGATCCCGAGGCTCCGGCTCATCGAGCAAAGGACGAGGCCGAGGGGGCGGGCAGCGACGTGACGGACCTCCTCGACGAGATGGAGATCGCTCCCAAGGTCGACTGCCCCGAAAGGGGCCACGTCTGAAGTGCGGAGGCAATCGCGAGACGAAGGATCATCGGGATCGCACTTCATCGGCCGGCAGCAAAGGAGATCGTGAACGCCCAAAGCGAGGGTTTGGAGCTTTCGTCTTCTTCGGCGCCGAGCAGGATGCCGAGATGGAGGCCAACCTCATTACGAACGAGACGACCCGCATCGAGCTGGAGAATGCGATGTTCCACAAGCCGGTGATAAAGAACAAGCCGAAGCGGGAGAAGAGACAGCTCGACAATACCCAGTATCTTCAGGTGGAGAAGTCCATCGAGATGCGAGAGCGAGTTGAGCACGTCAAGCTGCCGAGCTGGCCTACACTGGAGAAGCTCGACGACAGGGTCCTCATGAGTGTGAAGCAGAGCTCCTCCAAGGGTTTCGGAAACCTGGACATTGGCGCGACCTCCAGCATCATGGGCATAAAGGCCGCCGAGAACCTACGCGACATCATTTACGAGCAGACGGGCCAGAACATCAAGATGGACGTTAGCCAGAAGAGTACATTTATATTTGGCGATGGCAGCTCCAAGACCTGCACCGGCAAGGCTACCTTTCCCCTCAACATTGCTGGTGTGGACGGCGAGCTCGAGATTAACATCCTCGACGCAGATGCCCCGCTCTTGATCGGAGTGGATGGTGTGAGCCGCCTGGGAGCTGTGATCGACTGCGAGGCACGTTCTGTTTACTTCAAGAAGCTCGGACGTCGAGCTGAGCTGCTCGTCCTTCCGAGCGGTCACCTTGCACTGCCACTGGTGCAGCAAGCCGATTTTGGCTTCGTGGTATCCCTCGAGTAGGGGCCCACGCCCGAGACTGCTACGGTGCCGGAGGGAAAACGTCAAAATGAGCAGCCGATCGGAAGCAAGACTGACGAACCACCTGTATCCGTGCCCCATACGGTCCCCGACGAGGCCCCAGATCATGGAACCCTGCAGGCCTCAAGCACCTCATCGGCACTTACAAGCACGGGGACATCATCATTACCTACGCCTACGGGGACACCATCATCCTTTACGCTTACAGGGATATCATCATTCCCTACGCCTACGGGGACATCATCAATAAAAACGTCTGGGACATTATCTGTACCAGCCCCTACGGCCTCAGCTATGACATCATCAAGGTCACCCTCAGAAACTTTCCCAAAGATCCCCGAATTCCCAGCGCTCCAAACGGAAACGCCACCGTTCTCCAGAGCCATTTGGGCTACGAGCGATCTGAGCTCAGAGCTCCGATTTCGGCAACCAGATTGCCTTCCATATTCGCATGAGCCTCAACCGCGAGACGAAATGCCGCAAAGCAGAGAGCCAGCAAGTGAAGCTGGAGAACGAGGAGATGGACGGCCCCTGGGAGCAGGTGAACGTTCGAGTGCCTCTGGAGGACTCGGGAGCATCAGCGACGGGCCGCTCACCGACGTCGACGAGGTCTACGCTACAACGGATATTGCCGCAGGGGCGACTGATCGCTCACCAGGACACGAAGGGCAACATCTTCTACGCGGTCGAGAGCTCGGAGCTGGACCACAGCAAGAAGCGGATGACGGACATCTTCCTGCTGGAGCATCTGCCGAATTGGGAGATGTGGTCCAGCGAGCTCCTCCGGCAGTGGACACAGTGCCGCCGCTGGGGGCGGGTCATCCAGAAGGCCTTTCTCAAGACGATCGACCACGTGAACCGGAAGCTGGACAGTCTCGGCCTACCTGTGCAGCTGCTACCAGAGAAGTACCCGACTTGGCCGACGGACCTCGAGCACCGTGCGAAGATCGAGCAGTGTCCGCCGAGCTCGAAGGCAAAGCAACGTCCCCAGAAGTCGACAGCCGCGGCCGCGCGCGAGCAGAATCAAGAGCTGCGGGCCACCATCGAGACCGCAAAGTCCAATTTCTTGACCAAGTTTGCGGATGTGAGTGCGTTGGCAGCGCTGAGCTCAGAGCAGATCCACGAGCAGCTCAGCATGGTCACGCTGGGCAACCACCTCAGGCCCCTGTGCAAGATGTGGGGATTGACCAAGTCGGGCAAGAAGGAGGAAGTGGTCGACAAGATCATAGCGTACATCATCGAGCAGCGCGGCTCGGCAGCAGCGACGATAAAGATCAAGACGGAGACCGAGACGAAGAAGGCGGAGAAGGCGCCTACGACCATAGACCCGGCGACTCCAGCTCACTACACGCAGATGCGCCAGCACCCGGACTGCAAGCTATACCGAGGCATCGCGAAGAACGAGACGATCGTGAAGGTGAAGCCCTACGGGTAATGCAGAACGTCAACCAGCGCGACGACAGGCGGAGGGAGAACCTTCGCAGGAAGCGCCTCAAGAGCCAGCGGATCTTCGAGAACAACAAGAGGCTCATAGAGCACCAGGTGCTCAACCTGAACGGCTCGGCCCTCGCCGAGCAGCCACGCAACAGTCGGTCGTGGCAAAAGACCTGCTGGAAGAACCTCCACAAGATACTCCCCTACGAGGTGATCGTGGACGGCTGCGCCTGCGGACTGAGAGCTCCCGACACAGGCGAGCTCATGAAGAAGCGCTGGAAGTTTCTCACTAACGACAAGAGGATCTGGGTGGCCCTAAAGCCGCTACAATGCCGTGGAAGACACTACCACGAGGAGATTGAGAGCAGCCTGAAGACTGAGGCTTCGGGCTACTACCCCAAGATGCTGTGCCGCCGGATCCTCCGGGCTCTGACCAAGAGCCAGAACCAGAACTACTTCGAGGACGAGGTTGCGAAGTGCCTCTGCATGGCAGCTACCCAGCAGCCACCGACGGAGCCTACGCTTGTGGAGGATGAGCCGTCGATTCCACCTCAAGACGGCAAGGAGACTCACGACCTCACCAAAGAGACGATCAAGAAGATAGAGAGCTACATCAGGCTGGTGCACACCAACCTTGGACATCTACCCCGAGCTCATCTACTACGATACCTTCGCGACCGTGGTGCTCGCCCAGAGGTACTACGACTGGCAGGGACATTCAAGTGCGACATCTGCGACGCGCACCGACCACCGACAAAGCGGCCACCAGCCTCATCAGCAGAGCAGCCACATAATGGTCATGAGGTTCTCTTCGACGCCTTCTCATGGATCCGTCGCAGCAAGAAGACGAACGTGATGGCGCTGGCGATCCTCGACGCCGGCTCAGACATCCTCTACGTGCGACTGATCGACGAGAAGGAGATCCCGGGTACGACTCGACAAGTTCGTGCCGGCGACCTTCGACATATTTTTGCGACAAAATGGTTTCCTTGGATGGGGCGCCCGAAGGTCATGCGCTACGATCCCGCTGGCAGCGCCATCTCCAACGAGTTCCACGAGTGGATCGAGAGCCAGGGAGTCTACTGTCTTCCTTGCGCGGCCGATGCCCACCGGCAGATCGGCAAGATTGAGCGCGCGATCGAAGCTTTCAAGGAGGTCCTAGAGGCTTTCGACGAGATGGTCTCAGCTGAAGTGCCTACCAGCGAGATGATTGGACTCCAGACAGCTGCCAGGAACGACCTGATCAGGATTGATGGATTCAGCCCACTGCAGCGCTATGCCGGACGGACCCCGACGGGGACCACGGTTAACTTGTCCGACGAACCGAACAACCTGCCCCTCATCAGCACCGAGCTGCAGGATGGCACCTTCAGCAGGGACGCCCAAGTTCGACGCCTGGCGCGGCTGGCTCACATCCAGACCGAGAACTCCGACCGAGTCAAACGGGCGGAAGCCGCGCGCTTCAGGTCCTTCAAAAGGTACGAGACGGGCGACCTGGTCTTCGTCTACAGGAGGCTCCCACCAGGAGCCTGGATCAAGAAGGGCCAACCTCGCTCCATGCCTGGGCGAGGCCGCTGGTACGGACCTGGACGAGTACTCTGCCACGAGCCATCGAGCTCGGGACATCGACCTGGTCTACCTGGGACAGTGGTCAACATCACACTGGCTGGACGCTTCTATCGAGTTGCCCCAGAACAGCTTCGACCTGCTACGCCCTCCGAGGAGGCGATGGACTCTCTACGCTCGCGTCGCGAGCAGCCGGGGACATGGGCCTTCGGCGACGTCCAGAAGCTGCTCGACCAGAACGAGGTGATCGACCTTTCGAAAGAGTCCCCGCCTACTGGCGAGGACCTGGCCGCTGACGACGGCGAGTCTGTCAGCGCTCGCACCTTCGAGGGCAACGCGAGCGGACCCTGGGCCATTCCTGAAGACGAGGAGCTACCCGTGCCACGAGGGGATCCTCGGAGTTTGGGCCCAGGAGGAGGAGGCGGCGGAGGTGGTGGAGCCATCGAGGCACCCCCAGGACTGGAAGAGCGACCTCTTCCTGGACCGCGACCTCCAAGGCGACTACGGAAGAAGGGCAATCCCTGGGCCGAGGCGGCCGAGGTCCAAGACCCTCTCATACAGCCAGTACAGCCAGAAGCACCGCCAGGCATTCCACAAGAGGAAGGCCACGAAGCTGGACACCAAGAGGAAGCCGAGCTACCTGCAGAAGAAGAAATCGTCATGGAGGCCCCTCCCGACGACGACCAAGCAGAGCGTCCCTCTCAGCAACCCATTGCGGTGGACACGGACGACGACCTCGACGAAACGACGGCGCCTGACATGAACGACAAGCGCCGGCTGCGGTCGCCTGGCTCGACCGAGCCACCTGCTAAGAAGCAGCGGATCAACGTCGCGACCCAGGAGGCCTTCCCCTACTACCTGCAGGAAGGCAACTTCTACGGGGACTACGCCTATAGCGTCCAGCAGTACGACGAGACGAAGGAGGATGACGAGCTCATCGTGCTGGACATCCCCGTCAGCAACGAGCACGCGCTCATGGCCTACATGGACAACCCTAGAAATTTCGTGGCATCACAGGCCCGGAAGGGCCGAGTGGAGGTTTCTTTCAAGACGGCGACGCCTGAGGAAAAGAAGCTGCTACTTGAGGCCCAGCAGAAGGAGTGCACCTCGGTCCTCAGCACGAAGGCTGTCAGGATCCTCAGCCGCAAGGGGATCGACCCGGCGCGCCTACTGCGCTGCCGTTTCGTGCTGACCTGGAAGAAGGACGAGCAGGGCAACGTGCTCCGAGGCAAGGCCAGATTGGTCGTGCTTGGCTTCAGCGACCCCGATCTACTACAACTACGGACAGAGTCACCAGTTGCCTCAAGACGTGCACGACAACTTCTACTGGCCATGGCAGCAAGACACAAGTGAAAGCTGGAGAAGGCAGACGCAGTGACAGCCTTCCTCCAGGGCGAGACTGACGAGGAGAAGAGGAAGATCTACGCCGACCCGCCGAAAGATGTTCGTCAGGCATTCGGCATGAAAGATGACGATGTACTACAGTTCCTCAAGCCTATGTATGGGTTTGTACATGCTCCTCGCAAGTGGTGGCTCCATTTCAAGGACAGGCTCAGAACGCTGAAGCTGGAGATCGTGCAGTGCGAACCTTGCGTCTGGGTCATCCGAGACGGCAACAAGATGGTTGGCATGGTCATCCTACACGTCGACGATATGATGATTGCCGGCGATCGCAACAACTCGGCCTTTCTCAAGAAGCGTCAGGAGATTCACCAAGCGTTCGAATGGACACCCTGGGAGAGCCGAGCGTTCGTGCAGTGTGGCATCAGCATTCGACAGAACGAGGATTATACCTGCAGCCTCGCACAGGACAGCTACAGCCTGAACGTGGAGCCCATCAAGATACGACGTGGGAGGAAACCCACAGAAGGAGTTTCAGACAAGGAGAGATCAGACCTACGAGGCCGACTTGGTACAGTCGGATGGCGAGCTCAGCAGTCGGCCCCGTGGCTCAGCGCAGAAGTCTCTCTACTTCAAGCGGAGATACCTACGGCCACGGTCTCAACCATCCAGAAGATCAACAAACTTATCCGCACCATGAATGACACCGCCGACGTAGTCATGCTCATCCCGGCCATTGAGCAGATTGCCGTGGATGGCTGCGGCGATGCAGCATGGGCCGCCCGTATCACTGGCGAGTCCCAAGGCGGAGAAATCGTTGTACTGGCCCCCCTGTCCTTCCTGAGTGGCTCGACAGAGACGGTTGCGCCTATCTCTTGGAGATCATGCAAGCTACCCAGAGTGGCCAGAAGCAGTACGAGTGCGGAGGTCCAGATGATGACGGAGACCTTGGACGAGATCAGTTACGTGCGACTGTTCATCTACGAGCTGGAGTGCGGTCAAGTGGACTACACCAACAAGCAGCACGTGAACGACGCCATCTCATCCTGCCCTGGCGTACTTGTCACAAACGGTAAGTCGGGCTACGACGCGATCGAGAAGAGTGAGTCAGCTGGTCTCGGACTACGTGACAAGCGGACGAGCATCGAGTGCTTGGGCATTCGACAGCAGAAGGAGCAGACGGCCCTCCAGATACGCTGGGTACACAGCGACGCCATGTTAGCCGACGGATTGACCAAGGATCGTGCCGCCAAGGTCTTGCTGGAGTTCTTCAGATCAGGCCAACGCTGGAGACTCGTGGACGACCCACTTCACCGCAGTGCCCGGAAGCGCAAGACCGAGGGCCTGGACAAGCTCGACCATGGCAAGCCGATCTCAGACGACGACGAGGCTGCTATGCTGGAGGCCCTGATCTACTACGCCCGCGACAACCCCGACGAGCAGGAGAGCCCTGCTGGAGATGCTGCCCTGTGGGGCATGATTAAGCCGCTCACGCGCTTTGTGCTTTCTGTGAATTCAGTTGCCAGAGGCAGGTCTCGATGCCGTTTCATCGATCTTTAGCTTTTGGGCATGCAATTCACAGCCCAGAGCCTGCCTCTTCAGAGCCTACTTACGACAGATGCCCCCTCGAGGCCTAACGTGATATATATATATATATATGTTTCAGGCTCCAAAGGGGCTTCGTGTATGTTAGCCAAGCGTTTCCCGGCGAATCGGGCCTCCCAAGACTCCAAGTTTCAGCAAGCCTTGCTTAGTAGGCCCTCCGTTTCCCTAGCAACAAGTTGCAACATATATTATGAACAGAACAGGTTCAACCGAAACCGTTCTGGCTCAAGACCTTGCAGCGTCACAGCGACGCTGGATTTCTGGCGTGCGTCCCAGAGACGCAGAGCAGCGAACTGCCCGCTAACAAACATATCCTGCTCCCTACCACAGTGTGATAAGCATCGCACAGGCACTGCCCTATCATAGACGACCAGTTTGAGACGAGCCCAACATCCCCTACAGTGATTTCTGTGATTTCCGCTCACTCCCCGAGCCTTTCCTGCCCCTGCTCCTGCTGCTCTCACCCTTCTTCCCGCTGCCTGTTTTGGTTCGGAACTTACTAGGGCCCTTGGCCTTAGAGCTACGCAGTTTGATTGCCGCGCGATCATTCGACAAAACGATATCAGCGATATCCGACCCTGCGGGTCTTACATATCACAATGGTAGCTTGGAGCGAGGTTCGCTGCCCCGGCCTTCGGGCCTTACATATTCCACGACGGCGTCTGCGACTCGTCGGCCCACGGAATCGACGGCCAGCGCCGTCCAGCTCTGCCGCCGCGCAGCGTTCATCTTCACATTCGTGATCAGCGCCGTCAGCGACAGCGCAGCGCCCAATACCTACATCCCCTGCCAGCTCTCTGCCTCGGCAAGCGCCGACATCCCGAACACTTTCTCCCACGCCAGTGACGTCAGCGACTTCACCGGAAGCATCGGCAAGCGCCGAGATCCCCTGCAGCCTATCTCCAACATCGGCAAGCGCCGAGATCACCTGCAGCCTATCTCCTACATCGGCAAGCGCCGACATCTTCAGCATCAGCGCCGTCAGCGACAGCGACAAGCCCAACGCCTACATCCCCTACCAGCTCATCGACACGGCAGGCGCCGACATCGATTACGGCATCGAGTTTGATTTCAATTTCATTTCGTATTCTGGTATTCCTTGCAGTTCATTCGTAGACAGAATGACGGAGTTCAATCACAACCAGTCAGTGATGCCAAGCTGGAATAGAGATCCAGCGAAGTGGCGAGATTACAAGCAAGAAGTTAAATTGTGGAAGCTCAGCGAGAACCTGGAAGTGACACAAAGCTTGGCATCGAAGTTAGTCTTGAGGTTGACGGGTGCCGCCAGATCGGCTGCCCTCAACATGACGGAGCAGGAACTCCACCCGCCGCCGGACGCCGACATTGAGGAGGCAAACGAGAAGAAGCGCGATCGGAACCAGAAGGGCATCGAGAATGTGCTGAAGCATCTCGAGACAAACCTAGGCCAGCAGAAGCCGGTACAGAAGGGAGAGACGCTAGAGAAGTGCTTCGAGTCGACTCAGCATCATCGCCGCCGTGGAGAACGCATGACGGACTGGCTTGTGCGATTCGAAGCGGGACTACAACAACTACGCGAGAACGGGGTTGACCTCACTACGCTTGACGACGTGGCCGGCTGGTTCCTGCTGCGCAAGGCTGGGCTCACGGCCGAGCGCCGTGAGCGCGTCGTAGGCAACTTGCCGGACGAGCATTACTCATTTCAGCGCATCAGGGGCCTGCTGGTGCGCATGTTCCCTGATATCCATACGTCGGAACGGCATGCCAGCTTGCCGTCGCGACCGTGGCCGCAGCGATCCAACAGTAGTTGGCAGCGCCCATCGCCAAGCCGAGCGCGTTCAGCCAACGTCGCCGACGAGCCAGAGGACGAGCGCGAGGACTCGGAGGACGGCGACGACAACGACGCGGAGGCAGACGTCCAGGACATCGTGCGCCAGGAGCTTGAGGCTTTCAGCGCCGAGCTGGAGCAGTCCAACTACGACCTCGGCGAGGTGTTCGACAGGGGCGACTCTGCCAAGGTGGAGGCCGCCGCGGCGGAGCTCGCCGCGATTCCCGAAGCCATGGCGACCATGCGGTCGGCCCGGGAGGCCATCAAGGGCCGCGGGAAGGCTTCGCCCAAGCGCCGACCCGCGGGCAAGCTACAGGGCCGCGTGGACCAGCGCAAGAAGAACTCCAAGTGCTGGGACTGCGGCGAGGCGGGGCACTGGACCGGTGACAAGGGGTGCCCGACACCAGGCGCTCGGAAGTTCGCCCCGAATTCCAAGCAGAAGGGCGGAGGACGAGGCGGCGGAGGTCGCTCGCACCGCCAGGCCAACATCACCGAACAGGTCCACGATCAGAACCACGTGGAGTTCGGCGACGAGGAGGTGATTCTTCATCCAGAAGGTCCGGTCACTCCGCCACCCGAGACCCTGGTCTCCGAGCGCGTGGTGCCCGACTTGCCCACCGTAAACGCCACCAACGCCGGCGAGAAGCCCAATGACGACGGTGTCGGCGTGATCGACACTGCCTGCCTGTTCTGCGTTGGCGGGCTCAGCTGGTACAAGCAGTACAAGGAGAAGCTCGCCAAGATGGGTCTGGCCGACCAGATCCTGGAGGAGCCCGAGAACGAAGTCTACAGGTTCGGGAACGGCGGCACGCTCCCGAGCAAGCTGCGCGTCACAGCCCCACTCGTGCTGTGCGGACGCGCTGGCCGCATAGTGTTCAGCGTTGTGGATAGCCCCACGCTCGGCCTGCTTATCGGCCGGGACTTCATTCAGCCGAGCAAGATCGACATCTCGCTCTGGAGGGGGCAGATCCGCATCGGGAACCATTCCCAGAAGCTCATCACGAGCAGCGCGGGACATCCCGCGATCGACCTCCACCCGGAGGACTGGCTCGCCATCAAGGGCGCGGGCCACGAGTTCGGACCGAAGGCTGTCGGTACCAAGGCCGTCGCCAAGAGGCCAGCCCCGAAGCCCACGGTCAACCTCACTACGAAGGCGAGCAATCTGCTCGAGAACATCACGAGGCTCATCCCCAAGAAGGAGCTCAACGTACCGAGGCGACTTCAACAGCGACGCGGTGGCAGCTCAAGGCTCATGGCCGCCGTGAGCTCTGCGTTGGTCTGCTGTTCGACGGCGGTCGCGCCGCCGACGTTTGCTCCAACAGCGATTTCGCCTACTACCTGCATCGCCGAGTCCCTCGACGACTGCGTGGCCTGCGGCACCAAGTCCTACACTGACTGTTGCCACCTCGGGTTCTGCTCCGAGCGTGTGTTTCGGCAACTCGGTCACGCTGGACATCAAGAACGACAACGAGCCGAAGGAGGTCAACATCGCGGAGGAAGAGCAGATGAAGGTACGTCAGCTCAAGAAGGGGACGAAGCTGCAGCTGACCGCCAGCAAGCGGTCGGCCATCGTCACCAACAAGAGCGGCGTCAAGCCGCACACGGTCAGCCAGGCGCTCAAGGCAGACCTGGCCAAGTCAACTACGAGCTCGAGCGAAATCTCGAGCAACGCCACCATCCTCTACGAGTGGTGCTGCAACCCCGACAGCAAGCTCAGTGCGAAGTGGACCGAGAGTGGAGGAGCTGCTGTACGTTGCGGTCTTCCTGGATACGACCTTTCTCGGAAGCCCATCGTCGAGAAGCACGAGGGCAAGATCCGGAAGAACCTGCGGAAGGGCCAGAACGCACGGGTCCACGCCGCATTTCCATGCACGCCCTGGACCGCGTTGCAGCGCATCATCCTGAAGATCGACCCCGGCAAGGCCGAGAAGCTGGAGAAGGATCGGAAGCATTCCGCGAGGATGATCGACCTTTTCCTGAAGTCAATGAGCCGCCTGCGGAAGGAGTTCGGCAGCCAGCTCGCGGTCTCCTTCGAGTGGCCGCGCTACTGCGACGGCTGGGACCAGAAGAAGAACTACACCGCGAAGAAGCTGAAGGACCAGCTCCCGCGCATCATCGATTTCGATGGCTGCGCCTACGGCCTGCAGACAAAGAGGGGGGACGCGATCAAGAAGCCGTGGAGGATCATCACCGACCACTACGGGATCGACAACTCGCTGCACAAGCTTTGCGACGGCCTACACAAGCACGTCGAGGCCCGCGGCAAGCTTGCCAAGGACAGCGATAACTACACCGACAAGCTCGTCGCCGCGCTGGTCAAGCAGCTTCGCAAGACGAACAAGACCGAGCACCGCGAGGCAAACCCCGCGGAACCAGCGAGACGGAGAGCCGCGAGAAGGACAGTGCCTGCCCCGGCAGCCCCTGCCGAGCCAGCCTTAACGGCAGCGGAGGAGCGGACGCTCAAGTCCGCCATATTGCAGCTCCACGTCAACACGGGACACCCTGCCAACGACGCGCTGGCCCGGGCTATCCGAGTGACGGGTGGGTCCCAAAGAGCGGTCGAGATGGCTCTCAACCTGTACTGCGAAGTCTGCGCCGCCCATCAGCGACCCCTACCACACCTACCTGGGATAATCAAGCTAGATAGGGGCTTCAACGATTCCATCGGAGTGGACTTGTTCACTCTTGCCGACTACGCCGGCAACCAGCTGGTTTTCCTCAATGTGGTCGACCTCGCTTCTGGATTTACCTTATGTGGTACAGTTTCTTCGAGACACCCTTCGGTTGTATTCGCGAGGCTTTTGCAGGTTTGGATTACGCCGTTTGGGGCACCACAACGGGTACTTTTCGATGGAGGAGGCGAGTTTGAGAGGGAGTCCTCGAAGGAACTCGAGGACATGGGCTGCCGCCTTATGACTACTGCCGCGGCTACGCCGCAACAGAACGCCACCGTGGAAAGGCGCGGCGGCATGTGGAAGGTCCACGCCAGGAAGCTGATCGACCAGTTCAGCATCAGGTTCGACCAACCCGCGAACGCCCACAAGATCCAGTGGCTGCTCGCCGCTGTCTGCTGGGCTATGAACAGCTCAGTCAATGCCAGTGGATATTCACCGGCACAGT